TGGGATTCCTGGGTCATATGGTAAGTCTATTCCTAGTCTTTTGAGGAATCTCCATACTGTTTTCCACAGTGGCTGCACCAAACTGCATTCCCACCAGCAGTGTAGGAGGGTTCCCTTTTCTCCACAGCCTCTCCAGCATTTGTCATTTGTGAATTTTTGAATGATGGCCATTCTGACTGATGTGAGGTAAATGAAACCGATGAAGGCTTGATCTCCAGAATATATAAGCAGCTCATATGACTTAATAAGTAAAAAACAACCCAATCCAAAAATGGGCCAAAGACCTAAACAAGCAATTCTCCAAGGAAGAAATACAAATGATCCATAGGCACGTAAAAAAATGTTCAGTATCACTAATTATCAGAGAAATGCAAATCGAAATGTGACAAGTTTTGATGGAGCAGGGATGGGATAAGAAGGAACAAGCCTTAAATATAGGACATTACTGGGTAGGGGGAGCCTCCTAGGGCCCTGTCACACCTGCAGTTGGGTGGCACAGAGCAATTAGGCCTCTTAAAGGCCCGGGGCACCCACATTTTGATAGAAAAGCCTAGAGAAACAGCATTGCAGACAAACCACGGCTTTTATAGACTTTGTCCAAGGTTGGCTCTTAACATACTAACTGGTTGGCCATACATATGTAAAGACTTCCAGGCCCACTGTGATACCCTGCATATTTCTTTGGTCTAATTTTAGGCTACAGTTTCTATGTGTCTCCTTCCAGGAAAAAAGCATGGTGTTTAGGGACACACACTTTTGAATCTGACCTTAAACTAGTTACTGAATCTGTCTTGAACTTCAGCTCCCTCAGTTGTAAAATGGGACAACAGACAGTACACATGTCATAGAAGTACCGCTCCGAGGACTAAGATAAGTGTGTGTAAAGGGCTTAGTCCTTGGCTCAGGAGAGCTTCCAGTGAGCATTAGCTATGACTGTCACCATTAGCCTTGTGATTGTCATCCCTTGTCTCATTGGTGGCCTGGAGTGAAGTGGGGTGAGGCAAGGTTGTGAGATGTCCACAGCGTCAGGTGCCCAGATGCACTCTGGCCTGTGGCCTGCAGGCAGATGGAGTGTGATAGCAAGGCCATCCCCATGGCTGCCCCACGGCTCCCTCCCCAGCCCACAGCTAGTGCCTACGCTCCTAACCATTGCCACCTCGGAGCCCTAGCAATATTCTGTGACTAATATTGTTCTTTTCACTCAGAGGCCACTTCAAGAGGCCACAGCTGTCTGCCCAGTACAGCTGTCTGCCTTTCGGTCCGCCTTCACTCAGCCACAGCCAGGGGGATCCAACTTGTACTAGGAACTATTAGCAGTCCCATTATACTGGCCATTGATCTAACAAATTTTATTATCCCTGCTCACAGTCAGCAACTTCTGTTCTTTACATTAATGACCATTTGGAACAGAATTCTTGTGGAATAGTGTAGTGCGTTTGCATTAGGAGCGGATGAATTCACAGTGATTAATGCTTTTACAACAAATAACTCAGGAATGCGTGACTGGTTACCTCTTCTAGGAGCCTGCCCTTTGCAAGTGACATTCAATTGGATTTCCAAATGAATTCTCCCTGATGGCTTCTGAGAAGTTTACTTCAGTGATGTCATTAGTGATGGGCCATATACTGTGGCTTAATACCAGCTAAAAGGCCTTTAAAAGAATCACTTTTTTTTTTTTTTGATCAGGGCTGGGGGTAGGAATGAGAAAAGGAGGAAGGCTACATTCTGTGAGCTTTCTAAACATGGAGCTACTGTGAAGAGTCAGGCGGGACTCAGTAAACCTCCTGGTATTTCACCTTATGTTGATATAAATTGTATAACCTTTGTCAGGCAGCACATATTTTTTTAAAAACAAAAAAAATTCAGTAAGAAAAATCAAATATGCTTTCTGCTTCCAAAAAACTCTAATAATTAGGCTGGGATTGGCACAAATTAGAATGCTGCCAAAAATTACTGAAAACAGTGACTCACTCTGTATTTCAATTAACAGTTTCTCAGTTTCCCTTATAAACAGTGAAGCTGACAGAAATTAATTATCTCAAAGAGGGTAAAATATTTCTTTCCAAAGTAAACAAAACATCATAGGCTGAAACAATAGTATGTGTAAATAGAGGGGATGGAAGGAAACTATCTTTCCTTGTCAATTAAGCCATCACTTTGTTTGATTTTTCTTTAAATACCTCATTCCAAAGCACTGGTTAAAAGGACAGTGTTGTTCTTTTCCCATCCTTTTCTACTAAATTACTCCTTTTGCTCTTGTCCTCAGTGTGATGCCGACTTTCATCTGAATGTCTAGGAGACAGAACTATAAACATGAAAGATTGATTTAAGTATTAGTATAATCATTGCACTTTAGATTCCTTGGTTGCAAAATAGCCTTGTAAATAAGTGTTAAAATTTACCAGCCCATAGAGAATTCCTACAAGGTTACATGAGTGGCAACATGGAAAGTAATGAGCACTTATTTTCACTTGTCTCATACCAGTAGATAAGTAGTTTCTATAAACAGCTTCCCTGTGTCTGAAGCTAAACTTATGATGGGATGCATTTGCCTGACTTGAGAAAGAGGCAAGCTTCAATCACTGAGATAACCCAAGGAGCCAGTAGTTCTTCATCCTTGTCATACAGGCTCCAAAGACTGACTCCAGAAGGCAAGGATGGTCACACTCCTCTCTCTAAGATTCTTGGGGGTCCAAGAGCAGCTAATTTTCTCCAGTGAAAGAAATTTAGAGGCTACATTTTAAAAATCAGATGATAACGTTTAAAAATAATCTCCCTGCCTCTTTCCTCTGTTTCATTTCCTTATTGCACTGCCTCTTGTGTTGAGTTGCCCAAGATAAATAGGCCAGCTTCTACCTTTTGACTGGTCATTAAGAAGCTTTCTCCTTCATATACTGTTTCTAGTAATGAGCTTATAGAATACTGTCCACTTCAAAGTTGCTTGTCTTCTC